TACTGTGACTTGCCATTTATAGTAAACTAGAGGCCCGATGCACAAAATTCGTGCAAGAGTAGGCCTTCCTTCCCCCAGCTGCCAGCACCAGCTTCCCTCTGGTACTCAGGAACCAGCCTTCCCTCGCAGCCCTGGCTTTGTCTGGTAGGTTGTCCAGAAGGATGTCTGGACGAACATCCAGTCTAATTAGCATATTATGCTTTTATTATTATAGATACCTCTGCCAAAAAGCACGTTATAGAGGGTAGAGTGGTGACTCTGATGTGACTCTCAGAGGGTTCAAATCCCACTTCCACCACTAATGAACAGTGTGGAGTCGAATGAATTAATTTCTCTAAGCCTCAATTTCTGCATCTACAAAATCAAAACCAATTCAAGGTAGTGACTATTTCATTAAATTAGAATAGATATTGTGATTAGATCATGTTAAGTGTTCAATGTTTAATAAATGCTCACCATATAGTAGCTGTTCTATGCTGGAATACAAACAATTCATTTGCATTTTGTAATTCTACTTATATTTCCTTTCACGCCTTTTAAAAAAAAATCTACAAATTTTTCCTTTTTACTCTTAATCCTACTGTATTATTTGTGTTTGCACAATCTCCTCAAATTCTTTGTAGAGGGAGAATTGATATTAAGAGAAAATAGAATAAATAAAAAATATTCTTCCATGTCTTTCTTCAAAGAAAAATTTTCTAAAATGAGTACTGATCTTGCGCAATGAGTGTGTGGTGGAGGATCATTTGGCACTTTCTAACTTCAATACAGAGAAGTGTTTTCATTAGAGGGTCAGGAGGCTGTGTGAGGACCCTCACGAAACCTATTCAGGCACCTTTTTCCCCAGCAAGATGGAAACTTCAGGTTAAACACTTCCACTATGACTGACTCATTTGGCAGAAAAAGAAGCCCAGATGCCAAAAGGATTTAAATTTTTTTAAAAAACTGGTGAAGAAAAGGCAGAGGTAGGAGAGCATATCCTATTCCATCAAGTTATAAAAAATAAAATAATCCCAAGGGGCAAAAAGGAAGATGCATTGAACTTCACAGGTAAAAGCAAGGCCTAGGACACATCTTAAAGTACACTTTACACCAAAGAGTGTTAAGAATCAAAACAGATTTTTACTGAATTACTGTACCATATGAGTCAATTACCTATAGGATGACAAAAAAAATCATGTCAACCCAAGCAAAACATTCATGTCAAAATATACCAACAGACCCAACACTATCTATAATAATAAAAGCATAATATGCTAATTAGACCGGACGACCTTCTGGACTAAGCCGCGGTGCCCCAGGGGTCGAGGCAGAGGCAGCCACCGTGGCGGCGGGGGCCAAGCCCCTTGCACGAATTTCATACATCAGGCCTCTAGTACTTTAATTAGACTACTGTGAGAAATAATCAGAGTATGGATACAACAAATAAATACATATGCCTAAAGTCATCAAATTGTGTACATTAATTATGTGCAGTTTTTTATATACCACTTATATTTTTACAGAGCTAAGGAAAAATAATAAGAGTAATTTTTTGATCATTTAATTATGTGAAATAACTAGCTTATTTTAACTTTTTTTTCTAAGCATCTTACAACCTTTAGATAATTTCTTCCATAACAATAGTGCTAATTATAGATTCATTATTTCTTACAGCTCCCACCATTTTTGTAAATATCTGATGAAAATATTTAACCAACATAGTTCATACATCCTTAGATTTTTCATCTTTCTTGTTTTGACAATTCCCAGAATACATAAGCACGACAATGGGCAGCCCACTGCTCCAGCTATCTACATCTTTATTAGTCATCAAAGTATTTCTGAAGTATACTGCCTTTAACACTTGTCAAGGAAGATAAATAAGGGAATGAGAATTAAGCATCTAGAAAGTCCATAGCAAAGAAGATTTAAAAAGAAGGTTTATGGGGTGTATCATACCATTTAATTAGAAAAAAAAAATGATTATTCAGCACCAACTAAGTACATGACAATGTGCTAAAAACGTAGAATGAGAAATAAGGCATGGTTTTTACTTGGATTCACCATATATTGAAAGCAAACTTAAGGTACATCATTAAAAACAATTATGTGTCATAAATTTCATGTTGGACATACCAAGTATGGAAACACAGGAAAATTTTCCCTAATTATCACTGGTTTAACTTCTTTTCTCTGTAAAGTGTGCAAGTTGTCTTAGGTTCCTTAGCTCTCTTCAAAATCTAACATTTTGTGATAATATTTTATTTAAAAATTTTTTTTTAAATCTTCATGGTTGAAAGTATTACATATGTCCCCTCTGCCCTTCATTGGCCCCTTCTAGCCTGCCTTCACCCCAATTTATTTCAATCTTTTCTTAGCAGAGAGCTGGAAGATTTTTGCCTTTAATAATCTTGTGCCAGAGAATACGTAAGCTTTTGATCAAATGCTTTAGTTCAATAGGACAAGGATATTCTTGATTAGCAACTGAGGAAGCAGAAACCATTAGCTAAAACAAAGTTTTAATCTGATTTCTCTTGCTCCATCCAGCATTCCTAGCATGGGTGTGATTAACACTAGCATTCTTTGACAAACAGCAAATATATTTGATTAAAAACTTTTTTTAATCTGTCACCATCACACTCCATTTTTCATATAATAATCGGGTATGAAATCTCTGTTAACTAAAGAAAAGAATAAATACTAAAAACATAACAACATGTGTTAGTTACAGTTGCCCTAAGCCAGCCGTGGGCAAACTACGGCCCGCGGGCCAGATGCAGCCAGTTTGAAATGAATAAAACTATTGAAATAAAAGACCGTACCCTTTTATGTAATGATGTTTACTTTGAATTTATATTAGTTCACACAAACACTCCATCCATGCTTTTGTTCCGGCCCTCTGGTCCAGTTTAAGAACCCATTGTGGCCCTCGAGTCAAAAAGTTTGCCCACCTCTGCCCTAAGCTGTTCCCTCTTCCCTGTCTTTTTGCCTCACATTTGTGTGATATTCATGGCTGTGAAAGTCGTAAAGATTAAATAAAATAAATGACACATGTAAAGCCTTCAATAAATAATAGCTCTTCTTACCATTGCTATGAATACTACCAGTACTTATGCATTTTTTTCCTGCCATTCCCCACTCTCAAAGCTTCCCCAAGTGGAATGCTCTGTGTAGTACTGAGAACACTTGAGAAGATCTGGGAATGCATACAGAAAAAATATATATTTAATTTAGTAATCATATATTTATATTAAAGTGACTTACCAGATTTGTTATTAAACAAATTTAACTAAGTTAAAAAAAATAGTAGTGTATTTACAGAAGCACAATAGTATGTAAATATGTCAAAAGTCATGAAGATGGTCCATGGACATTGAAGGTGGGAAACAAATAGAGCATAAACCACTGCTTTCACAATCTAAGGCAGTGGTCCTCAACCTTGGCTGCACATTGGAATCACCTGGGAATCTTTTTAAAATCCTGATTTCTGGGCCTCATCCTCTGGAAAGTCTGTTTCTTTGTTACTAATGTGGCCCCACCCCATAAGAAAGAAACAGAACCAGACATTTCCTGCCTTCAGAGTCCTAGAAATGCATAACTAAAATAGTCGTGAAAAAATGCTACAATTCTCAGAGCTCAATAATTCAAGTCTTTATTATTTCTGTCCTTAAAATGCAGAAAGTGTACAACTCTTCTTGTATTTCCAGAGCCTGGGTCAGTGCCTGACACATTATAGGTATTTAGTCAATATTTATTGAATGAATAAATGAGGGAATTATAAACGTATAACGTAGAGTTCTCGGAAGAAGGGTTTGGGGAAAGCAAATAAGAAAGAGAACTTCTGAGGCCCAAAGTCAGGCCATTTCTTTGGTGGCTTCTTTTATCTACTATGTGTGGAAATGAGAGCCAAGCCGTGATCTCACTCCAGTAGAACCTGCTGGGCCAGTGCAGTCGGCAAGTAAGGTGAGGCCGACCACTCATGTCAAACACAACAAACTTGCCTAATGGATTCCCACAAGTACATTGTGATTGCCCTCTCAGGCCAAATCTGCCCTGGTAAGCTAGATCTAATTATCCACCATGGAATTTGGCCAGTTACACTGAGATTATAGTATGTTGAGAAAGCTGAACTTTAACCACACAGAAATAAAATCACAAGCATCTGGGACACTCCCTATTGTCTCCGGGTGATTTTTGAATTTTTTTTTTTTTCCCCAAAAAGAAAACAGTTGCTTTGGAGTCAATGAGTTTTCCTTTCAACTAGAGCAGTGATTCTCAACCTTGGCTGCACATTAGAATCACCTGGGAATCTTTTTAAAATCCTGATTTCTGGGCCTCACCCTCCGGAAATTCTGTTTCTTTGTTACTAATGGTGAGGCCCAGAAATCAGGATTTTAAAAAGATTCCCAGGTGATTCTAATGTGCATCCAAGGTTGAGAACCACTGAACTAGAGGGAAATGTAAGTCAAATTAATTCAATTTTTTAATGTAAATTGTCTGCACATGTCTTTACTGAAATAATTTAAAATTATTTAATAATGAACTCTGATACCTAAATAGAATACTGCACCCTTTATTAATCACCAAAAAAAATTTATGTTAGGTGCAGGAAAAAAGTACAAAATGAATAAGATGCAGTCTCAAGTGCTGCCTTTTACAATCAGATTTCAACTAAAGTAGTTCAAAGCCAAAAAAATTGTTCTTCATCCCTCAGCAATAGATGCAGTAAAGTTTTTTTCAAATTTACAATGGAAGGTAACCATACACATTGTCACATGTCCATGTCATGAAGCTAAACAACTTTTAATGTTCCTTTTAAGCAAATTTTCGGTAAACAAAAATTGTCTCAGGGTTATATTTGTGTGGGTGGCATTCTCAAGCTTTCTAGGTACAGCTGGGCTAAGTACTCTCCATAAACAAAGTAGAGGTTTATCAGAGTTTTCTTCACTTTGAAAAATAGCTCCCAGTAGGATCCCAACAGCTAGACAGTTTGCACAGTGCGTTACACTTTTGCTCACCTTGTATACAACTCCTCAGGATCACACCTATAGGAGAGATGCAGGCACACATGCGACATTTGTTCTGCTCACCATCTCAGAACTGACTCATTGGCTTTAATTTTCTCTTTTTCTTTCCTCCCAGTATGTCCCTTTCCTCTCGCATTGACGGACGCCACTTTGCAACATGACTCGTTCTTTTTCTCTATTTTTATCTCATGTCATCAGCCTCACTGGTACATTTGTTTTCTGAGAATTTCTGCCTTGGCAGAGAGTTACTTAGTGGAGCCACAGGAGTGACTAAGCAAAGTCAGAGAAAGCAAAGCTGATTCTATTGGCAGTGAGACATGATAGAAAGAAATCCAGCTTGAAATTGAAAAACCTGGGGGGTTGGTTCTGGCACCAAGCTTCACCATGTGGCCTTTGAAATTCAAGGAACATCTTGAATGTATCAGTTTCCTCATCTACATAATTAACATGCTAACACAAAAATGACAAAGTCGAATCAGACTGCAGGAGAGCTTTTTGTCACATTAATTTGTAAAGTGCTTATCTCTGTGTCATGTGAGATGTGGTTGTCAATAATGTCGGTCACCAGCTGCAAAGGAGATACCTGTGCACACCTCTGTCCCCAGCCTTCTGTCCACTCTTGCGTCTCAGGGCTATTTAGGAGTTCATTCCTCGAGGTACAAGAAATCCATACATATGAACAATCCTGCCATCTTTGTACTCTATCTAGTTTTTGGTTTCATTAAAGCTTCTCCCAGTCTGCTTTATTGACAGTCCGATGCTAGCCATGATCTTTTCAACTGGCAAACAGGGCCCACACCCCCAGCTGCAATCTGGTTATCTACCAGCATCTGATTGAACTAGAATTGAGTGGGGTGATGTCACTCTGGAGTCAGGCTGGCTTTCGTTTAAACACACATTATAATGGAATAGCTGAACACCTTGAACTTGTTATTTAATTTCTCTGAAGCTCCATTTTCTCATTTATATAAAGAAGGCCTAATATCTACACTGTAAAGGGATGAAGCCTTATTATATATAGCCCAAGAGGTAAAAGTAATATGCAACCCAAATGTGGATATTTAGAATTTTCCAGATATTTAATTTATAGTCTCTTAAAGATAGAGGATTTTAAAGAAAAGTAACTGTGCAATTAAAATAAGATACACTTGCCCTGGCCTGTGTGGCTCAATTGGTTGGAGCATGGTCCCATATAGCAAAAGGTTGTGGGTTCAATTCCTGGTCGGAGCACATACCTGGGTTGCAGGTTCAATCCCAGTCAGGGTGTGTATGGAAGGCAACCAGTGTTTTCTCTTCTCTTCTCTTCTCATCTCTTCTCTTCTCATCTCTTCTCTTCTCTTCTCTTCTTTCTTTCTCTCTCTCTCTCTCTCTCTCTCTCTCTCTCTCTCTCTCTCTCTCTCTCTCTCCTGTCCCCTCTCTCTGAAATCAACAAGCATACCCTTGGGTGAGGATTTAAAATTTTTTAGAAAGTAAGATATTGTGGTTTCTTTGAGCTCTGCTCTGGCACAATGATTAAAAGTAGCAGGTACTTAATTATTTTTAATGAGTAAATAATGAATGAATAAATTCTATAGAAGTTTAGAGAAATATTGAATTTCACATCTCTCCTCTAGGTGCAAACCGATACCTCCTAACCTACAGTGTATTGCATTTCCTGTCTTCTCTACAACTGACATGAAAATTGTCCTAAAAAATTTCATAATTTTATGCCTGTCACAGTACAGAAGTAAGCAACCAGAAATGTATTTTCTCCCAAAGTTATCTCTTTATTTTTATATTTTTAAGCTTTTTATCAAAACAAGTTTCTAGAAATCATTAAGAAACACAATTGTGTAAGTATTATAAAGAAACAGAATTGTGCAAGAAGAGGCTTTACAAAGCCCTTGTGCAATACTACTTTGAGTACTTTCCATTTTCATGGCCTACTCTTAAGAAAACATGTTTTGCCAAAGTTCATTATTATTTTTCTAGAATATACATTTCCCCCTAAATATGGAAAGAAATAAAAATAATTATACTAACCATGAATTTTTTTAACTAAGCCTCAAATCTATTTTTTCCTACAGATTCACTGTGACAGCAACAGGTAAAATTGAATGAGAACTGAATGCATTATCCTGTAAATTGAATATAGAAGAACAACCAAATACAATAAATCAATCCAATACCTTACTTTTAACTTTCTTTCAAACCAGAACATGAGTTCTTTAAGTAACTTAAACAGTGCCCCCCAATCTCCACTTCCCTTTCTACAGGAAATATGACTGGAAACCATCTTGGAGTGCCATGAAAGTTGAGGGGCAAAGCTAAATTCCATCTAAAAGCACAAGGAAACAGGACCAGCAAGAATGAAAGATGCCTATCCTGTTTCCAAAAGCAAGAGGAGGAGATGAGCCAAAAGAACAATGACATGTTACAGCCCAAGAGCTAAAATTAAATGCATGTAAACAATTCTTGTTGAAACTAGAAGCCAATGTAGATTAGGCAAGCCAGGTGACGAGTTCTTTCCTGCCAGAACAAGCCAGAATAAGAGTCACCTCCCTCGCATTGCGACATGGCTAGGGATAGAAGTGAGGTTCATATGGAAAACCAGAGGATTATGAGCTGAGTATGGCAACTCTTAAATTCTATATTAACTTATTGTATACTAGAGGCCCGGTGCACAAAAATTTGTGGGGACCCTCACCTCATGAGGGTGTGGCCAACCTGGGTGAGGGGCTGATGGCTGTTTGCAGGCTGGCCGCAGCCCCTTCAGTGTGGGGGGTCCTGATGGGGTGCCTGGCCAGTCTGGGTGAGGGGCTGATGGCTGTTTGCAGGCTGGCCAAGGCCCCCAGCCACCCAAGCTCCCAGTGGAGGCTGGCTGGAAGCAGGTATCTGGGGTTTATTTATCTTCTATAATTGAAACTTTTTTGCCTCGAGCAGAGGCCACAGCTGGCCAGGGCAGGCAGGAACCTTGGCTTCCTCCATCGCCAGGGCAACCAAGCCTCCTGTTTGCTCCAGCTCTGTGGCTGCTGGCCGCCATCTTGGTTGGGTTAATTTGCATATAGTCGCTCTAAGCGACTGCTGGGCATGGCTTGGGGCATAGCAGAGGTGTGGTCAATTTGCATGTTTCTCTTTTATTAGATTAGACTAGAGGCCCAGTGCACAAAAATTTTTGCACTTGGGGGGGTCCCTCAGCCTGGCCTGTGCCCTCTCACAGTCTGGGACCCCTCGGGGGATGACCACCTGCTGGCTTAGGCCCACTCCCTGGGGGATTGGGCCCAAGCTGGCAATCAGATATCCCTCTGGCAGCTCAGGAGCCCTTGGGGGATGTCCACTTGCCAGCAGGAAGCAGGCCTAAGCTGCAGTCGGACATCCTTAGCACTGCTGAGGAGGCGGAAGAGGCTCCCACCACCACTGCTGTACTGGCAGCCATCAGCCTGGCTTGTGGCTGAGCAGAGCTCCCCCTGTGGGAGCACACTGACCACCAGGGGAAAGCTCCTGCATTGAGAGTCTGCCTCCTGGTGGTCAGTGTGTGTCATAATGACCAGTCATTCCCAGTCTTTCTGCTGTTAGGGTCAATTTGCATATTACCCTTTTATGATATAGGATAGAGGCCTGGTGCATGGGTGGGGACTGGCTGGTTTGCCCTGAAGGGTGTCCCGGATCAGGGTGGGGGTCCCGCTGGGGTGCTGGCCAGCCTGGGTGAGTGGCTGATGGTTGTTTACAGGCTGGACACAGCCCCTTCAGGGTAGGGGTCCCTGCTGCGGTTCCTGGCCAGCCTGAGTGAGGGACTGATGGCTGTTTGCAGGCTGGCTAAGGCCCCCAGCCACCCAAACTCCCAGTGGAGGCTGGCTGGAAGCAGGTATCTGGGACTTATTTATCTTCTATAATTGAAACTTTGTTGCCTTGAGCAGAGACCACAGCCAGCCAGAGCAGGCAGGAAGCTTGGCTTCCTCCATCACCGGGGCAACCAAGACTCCTGCTTGCTCCAGCTCCGTGGCTGCCGGCCACCATCTTGGTTGGGTTAATTTGCATATAGTCGCTCTGATTGATTGGTGGCTGTGGTTTGGAGCATAGCAGAGGTACGATCAATTTGCATGTTTTTCTTTCATTATATTAGATACGAAAACACCATATTTCTTCCTTATACCACCCAACATGCTGAAAGCCAGTTGTTTAAATAAAGGAATCTGAATGAGAATTTCTAACTCGCATATAATTATTTCTCTTAACACATATTTCTTGAATAACCACTATGGGCATGACCACTGTGGTAGAACCTTTGAATAATACAAAGATTAATAAGGCATAGTCCCTACCCTCAGAAGATCAAGGAAGTCATACATGCACGCAAATAACTATATGAGAGTAATCAAAAAAGGGGAGAAAGAAAGAAGTTCAGGCCAAACTGGTTTGTTGGCATTAATGTGTGAAAGAGTCACCTTTAAAGCCTATCCCATAGCCCAGTTATTAGCAACTCCTTTGACCAGAATCCAACTATGATGTTAGTTTTTGCTGGATTTTAAATTAAACCTATACTACCGGTTCTCTGATGCAGCTAAATCATAGAAGGAGCCCTAGGTAGATATAAACTCCTACAATACCTTTCCAATGACATTTGGGGCTTGTTTTAAAAGACCATTCTCAAATACATGCAAGAAGCCAGAGGAGTTATGGAAGAAAACACCATCTATTAAATTAACTTATGATTCCTAATTTTGTCATGAACAACTATAAACCTTTCTAAGTAAGCTAAATAGTCATTAATGTGGAAGGGTAAATAAATCATAGAATATTTCCTACAATAATTTTAAAGAATGAGGTATCTCTAGCATAGAAACATCTCCATATGTATAGAAGTGAAAGGAAACAGCCAGGAGGAAACAATTTAGGCTATAAACTAGGCCTATTATTTGATGCAACTTAAATATTTTTTCTAAAGGTTAAGCAGAAGCAGGAAATGATACAAATATGCTAATAAAGTAGGAAATATGATGCACTCTTTACTTATCAATATTATGTTACATCTCCAGAATTATAATGATTTAAAGTAAATTTTTTATAAAATGTTTTTGGTATTTGAATTAATTTTATTACCTACCAAAAAATATTTTGTCTTCAGGTATTGTCTTGAAGTAGTGTGCAAAGATTTTTTATATTTGTCTCCATATATTACTAGGTTGTTTTAGACCCTATCTCTGTAGCCACTTTCATAAGCTTTACCTTCATGTGTAAAGCTTTCAATCTAGTTAACCCATGCCCACTATAATTTCAATTCACAAGGGAAAAGTGAACAGACTCAACTTCTATTATTAAGTGGATACCCTGCCTCCATATCAGCCCAAAACAGATGTTATCAGTTATCTTTATTCTTCTTTATAAGACAGGAGAAAGAAAAAGAGAGGAGGGAAAGAAGTTCAAGAAAAGATAGAAGGAAAGTACTGTCCACCCCTGCCAATAGCAGAAATTGCAAGTTGTTGTCTGTTAAAAGTCTGTTCCGTTTATGATAAGTTATTTCCCCAGACCCCATTCTGTGCCTTCTGTTTTAAATGATTGCTAAAATCTTCCCCTTT